TCTTTTTCTCTCACTAACTCTTCCACTCTTTCTTTTTGAGTCTCTCTCACCGTCTCTTTTGCCTTTCTATCTCTTGCACTCTCTACCTCTTTCCATTCCTTTCTCCCTCTTTCCTATTCTACTTATCTCTTTCTATATATCTCTCAAGCTCTCTCTTCCTCTCTTTCTCTAGCTCATTCTAATTCTCTCTGTCTATCTATATTTCTCCCTCCATCTGGCTCTATTACTCTCCCTCTCACTTCATCCCTCCCTCTCTCCATATCTTGCTCTCTCACCCTCTCTCTCTCCCTCTCTTTTATTATCTCTCTTGCTCATTTTTCTCATTCTTTGTCACTTGCTCTCTATCAATTTCACTTCTTGCTCTATCTCTCTCTCCCCACTCCCACCCACTCCCTATTTCTCTATCTCTCATCCCTAGCCCACTCAAACTCCATACACACCTCCAAAACCTCTCAAGAATTATCTTTAATCATTCTTCTCTTTCTTCCCCTCCAACCCTTTCTTTAACTCTCTCTTTTTTTTGCTTCCTGTCTTTTCAATATCTGCCTCTCTTCTTCAATTTAACTCTCTCTCCCTCTCCCACTCTTGATCACTGTAACTCTCCCTCCCTTATATCCCTCATTCTCTCATCTTTCTTTCTTAGTTACTTTATCTTTCTTTTTCTATCTCAAACCTCTCTTTCTTCTCCCCCTCACTATCTCTCTCTCTTTCTTGCTCTATCCCTCTCCCTATCTCCCTACATCTCCCTTTCTCTTTTCCTACTATCTCTTCTTTCCTCTCTCGGTCTCTCTCATTATCTTCATCTCTCTCTCTCACTATCTCTAATTCTCTCTCTCTCTCCCTCCCACTCTCTTACTCTCTCTTTCTCTATTTACATCTCTTGATAGCAAGCGTTATCCTTTCCCGCTGCACTGTCTCTCATTCATTCTATATCTTTCTCACTTCCTCGCTTCTCTTTTTACATCTCTTGGTTGCAAGCGTTATCTTTTCCCTCTGCACTCTCTCTCACTCATTCTATATCTATCTCACTTCCTTGCTCTCTCTCTCTCTTTCACACACTTGCTTTGCCACTCACCTACTCTCCCTCCCTTCAGTTGGATACCTCTCTCATGTTCACTTTACAAATTTTTTAAATTTTTACCGAGCCCTTTTTTCTTTTCTTCTCTTGCTCACGCTTACATTATATCTCCCTCTCACTCTCTCTCACTCTCTTCCAACTCTCTCCATCTTCTTTCTATTCTATCACACCCTCATTTGTTCCCTCACTTCCTCTCTCTCTTAAGCTCTCTACTTTGCGGTCCTCTCACCGTCTCTGGTCCTCTCACCGTCTCTCTTCCTCACCCTAAATTTTTTTCTTACCTCACTCTCTTCCAACTCTCTCCCCTTCCCTTCCACTGTCTCTACTCCCATTGCACCCTCTATCTCTCCCCTGCTCTATCTCCCTCCTTCACACAATAACTTCCACTATCGATCTCTCTCTCTCTTTCTCATGTTCCCTCAACCTTGTTCACACCTTCTCTCTACTATTTCTATCACTTTCTCTATTTTTCCCCTCTCTCTCTCTCTCATTATCTCTTTATCTCTCTCCCTCCCAATCCTTTGTTTGCTCTATTTCTCTTGTTATTTACCCCTCTCTGTTCTAATCTCACAAACTTTCTCTATTCCAATTCTCTCCCTTCTATCTTTATTCTCTCTCTTCCCCTTTCATGCACTCTCCCTCACTCTCTCGATCACTCTCTTGCTCTCTCACTATCACTTGCTCCCTCCCTCACTCTCTCACTTCTACTTTCTTTTGCTCTCTATCGATCTTCATCCCTCTTCCATTCCCTACTTTGCCTCGCTCTCCCTCTATCCACCTTCAATTACATCTATTTCTCTCCTTATATCTCACCTTACATCTTTCTCTCCCTCCTTCATTTTTTCTCTCTGTTGCTTCCTCACTTGTCTCTCTCTCTCTTCTTTCTTTCTCTCTTCCAGTATCTCTCCTATTCCTATTCCCCACTTTCTCCCTTTTCCCCTGCTCTCCATCTCACTCCCTCTTTTGTCCCTCTCTCCTCACACATTTCTCTTACTCTCTCTTTTATCTCATTCTCTCTTTCCTTTTCTTGCTCTCAATGCCTGTCTCTGTCTCTCCCTCTCTTGGCTTATCTTGCTCTCAATCCTTTTCTCTCCATTCCTCTCTCTAGCACTTACGCTCTATTTCTTCTCACACTCTCTCCTCTCCCTCCCACTATCCCATTCTCATCCTCTCTCACTATCGCTTCCTCACTCTCTTGCTCTCTTTCTTTCTATATCTTTCCTGTATCACTCCATATCTATATAGTTATTTCTCACTCTGGTGAGATCTCTCTTTTTCTATACTCTTTATATTCTCTCGCTCCTTCCTCTTTCTCCCTCTCTCTCTTCCTCTCACTCTTCCTCAATCTCGCACTTCCTCTCTCTCCATTTTTTTCTCCCTTTCCCTTACTCTCTTCTTTTTACTCCCTCTATCTTCTACTTCATATCTTCTTTGTCTTTTCTTTATCTCTTTCGTACTTTCTTCTCTTTTTCTCTCTTTTTGTTCTCCTTTTCTCACTCTTC